CACAGTAGCAAAGGGTGGAGGTGGGCTTTGAAACCAGGCAGCCTGATACGACTCTTTTTTTTCTTTACTGACATGTAGCCTGATCATACTGAGTAAGGGTGAAGCGTTTGCCATGCAACATTCACATACTAACACCCTCAGTTGGTTGCTGAGTGTTCCTGGCATAGGCCTGTCACAGTCAAGTCGGTAGTGCTCAAGAAACAGTCACCAAAAGTAGTATCTACCCAATTTGGCATTTGGAATCCAATTTGTGAGACCCAGGAGTTAGTATATAAGCATTGTCCCTATTCACACTTTCAAAACTCTAAACTCACTGGCATCAAGTTGACTCTGCCTTTATGTGTGGAGTAGGGTAGAACTACTCCTTTGGGTTTCTGCCACTGTAACTTACTACCAGAGTAGAAGGCCGCTTCTTTCTCCAGAGAAGCAGCTGGTGCTTTTGAACTGCTGATTTTGTGGTTAGTAGCCCCGCATGTAACCACTACGTCACCTATATTCATACTAGTTTGCAAACTTTGAAGGTGGCCACATTCATTTACGGGTGGAGCGTGAAGAGACTTGTCTCACTGCGTTCTCTAGGTGGCAAGAGTGCATGCCATCCATCACAAAGAGAGGCTCATACAATTCCCAAAGGCAGTTAGATTGACAAAGCATGTAAACTTCTGGCCCTCAGTGTCCTCATGGAGTGCCCAGAACATCACAGGAAATACTCAGCCCGTGCAGGGCATTTCCTGTGTGTTTGGCAGGTGGCTGTCCCTTGCCATTCTTCTATTAACTTTTTAAAAAATGCATCCAGCTGGCTGCCCAGGAAGTAGTGAGCAGGGTAGACACAAACCTTGTCCTCACAGAGCTTAGTAGTGTGATGGACAAAAACTGTAGCTGAAAGATGGAGGGCAACCTTAAAAAGAAACAGACTGGGCGTCGAGAAAGTGCAGATGGGGGCACTGTTCTGCTGCAGTCGTAGAGCCCTGCAGGCATGGAGGCTAACCATCAGTGCTGAACATGTGCTACTTCCCCGCCATCCTGGCCTACCACACTGTGCTATGTTGGTGGTTGCTTTAGGAGATGGGCACGCTTATACCGGAACAAGAAACCTAATGAAACATACAACATGGTTGTTTCAACGTTTTGAAGTGACTCCGTGCATGGCCAGTAGATGGCAGCATTGGTTAGATGTTTCAATGAAACATACCTGGGTGTGTTTGTCCTTCATATTTTTGTGGGCTCCAGATTGGTCAGCTTGAGCAGTTTCCCAGTTGAGTATCTAAGGTAATTGTGGCTTTGTTTATTCTTTTGTTTTTGACCAGTGTTTTGCCTAGCCACTGGTTCAAGTGACTAAGCTCGAACTGATGGTGGGGGAAGTTATTCAGACTCCGAATGGTTTGGACAGACTCTAGAACAAGCAACTGCTGGGTAACTAGAGACGCCGTCTGTGGAGAACTGTCGTGTGACTTCTGAGCGTTATGAGGACTGCTTTCATGTGAGGCACAGTCAGGCGTGAGTCTCGTTGGGGTTCCCATCGAGTGCTCTAATTATTGATGGAAAGAGGCTTCATTAAACCTAGATTGTTTGCCCAGCACATTTAGGAGTTCTGTCTACTTGTTGGGTTGCCCATGGCTGTAGGAGTTTGTAATAATTGGAAGTATTAAAGGTCCATGTGTGTGCTAATATTTTAATAATTGGTCCCTTTCTCCCTTGCTTTGTTTTTAAAGAAAGGACAAAACCCAAAAAAAACAAAACCTTTTGCCAAAAAGGCCAATGAACCTCACAAAGACTTTCTGAGGTAGCATTTCTGAGGTGGGCTGTCTGTATGGAAGCAGACAGCCCATTCTTCCCACTTCGAAGCCTCTAGGACTTTGTACACCAGCTTGACAGTAATCGCTTACTGTAACGGAATGGGACTAAGCGTGGGTATGCTTATATCCCTACTATACCTATTGGGGGTTTTGCATTATAGCATTTCAGGAATGTACAGAATCTGCATTCTTTAGCAATCCTTACAGACTATTCTAAGGGTAAGAAGAGTTATTATCTATTGCTCTAAAGTAAAACTAGTTTCAAGAATGCAAACATCTAGTTAAAATGTATAGGGAAACGTGCTGATGGGATTGATGAGTGGCCAAGGATGGGGGGGCTGGGGGAGCT